ACAGTAACAACTATTCTACTCTATCTCTTTCAAAGGGGCTGATGCTAGGGCTAAACTTCCTTTTTGCTGGGATATTGGGAGGATGAATTAAAAGTAAAAACAAGTCAACTCCTTAAAGAACTTTCTTGTTTTCTTGATCATTGTCCTTTTCATATTATTGTAAAGAGCAGAAATAGGCTAACTGTCTGGGCTCCAAAGATAATAATATTTGTGAGTTTAATAGATCTGGCTTCTTTAAAGAAAGTCATGATCACATTATTAGGAAGAAATTATTTTGATTTCACTTGGAGCGGGGGAGAATGTTCCATAAGACAGACACCACTGGACAGAAGGCCCAGAATAGTAAAATCTTTAGTTGAAAGGAAATATTCAAATAAAAGAATATAGATACAATAATTGTGTCAGTATCTTTTGATATATTATAGTACTGATAGTACTGATAGAGGAAAATATTCATAGCTCAGGTTGAAATATTCATAACTCTAAGGTTGGTTGTTTTATTGCATAAATTTCATTACCCAAACTAGATAGCATCATTAATACTGGTAGGGAATGGGGTTTGCTCTCAATTTATATTATAGTGGCTTTGTCAGACCTAAACTGTTGTTGGTTGAGATTCTTACTTGGAATCTTGACAGGCTTGCCCTATCAGTGTTAGTGGGAGTGCTCTTCGTAGTACTTTGGTTAGACTTTAGTGTTAGCTTGTTTAACATTTCCTTCATTGGGGTATTGTTTTGCTTCTTGATTGGTAGTCTGATGTTAATCTTGGTGTTAATCTCTGCTTGTCTAGGTGTTGATTGTTGGTGGAGAGGTGTTTAGGTCTTTTGGGGTTTTGCATTTCTTACACTGTGTTTTATAGATGACTCCTGTTTTTTGTCTGCTGGATCTTTTAGATGTAAGATGTTTTGGAGGGCTATAATTGGTTTTTGTGCTGCACTGATGCCATGTGATAGTAATAATCTGTTGGTGGTTTCTGACAATTTTTTTTATATATGTACCTTTACCTTTTTTATGGCCTGTGTTGGTTGTACTATTTGGTTTGAATAGTAGGGCACATTTTGATGAAGTTGCATTTTTGGGGGGGAGATGTAGTGTGATGATCAGTTTCCTTTTTTTGATGTTCAGGGTTGCTGTAGTATGTTTTTGCTTGTCTAAATACTGCTGTTACACAGCTTCTCTTGCAGGTTGAGTTATTCATTTGGTATATATATCTAATTCCTGTAGAGAAATGATAGCATACTGTGTGAATATTTATTTTAGCCATTTAGCAGAATTCAAATTCATATAGTACATGCATTCTGCATTCCCCCATCCAATCCATGTATAAATGGTTGACCACCATTATAAAAACAAATAATAATTATTAACAGAAATTTATTCTGGCATGATTTGGCAACAATCAGTTCAGCTGGCTAATATCTGTCATTCCCAGGGTTCTCCTATTTATAATTCAGAAAAGATTTGCCAATTGTGCCATAATATAATAGTGACAGAGATATTTAGCCTTTCTTTAGTAAGAAGCAAAAAAGATGAAAATATAAATATACAATACTGAAGTTACAGTATCAATATCATATCAATAATTTGTATCAATCATTAGTATCAACAATTTGTATCCTAGCAGCTAAATACATTTGTATAGTTTTTCCTTTCAGGATGCATTTAACAAATGGTATTCCCAGATGGATGTAGCATTTATAACAAGATTACTTTTTCTACTTATTTATTGACCAACAACTTCTCATACAACTCAACTTCAGAAGCGGGCCTTAATTAATAGATTTTACTTAATTTTGAGACCATGGTGAAGACTTATAGTATTGATATTAGCAAAATTTTCACTTACATTTTTGGTAGCTAAATATTCATTCAAACCATATCAATGTAATCAACTAAACTTCATAAAATATGGTTATCTCTGTTCCAGGGTGGTTAAAAATTGATGCTTTTTAAAAAAAAAAAAAAAAAGCAGATTTTTAAACTTAAATCAGATTTTTTTAAAAATCAAATATATTTTAATAAAATGCTTGTGGAGTAAAAAATCTATCTAAAGATAATATTCTATTTAAGATACATTAATAATTTAGTTTATTCAGCACGAAGTAGAGCTTAGTTGCATAGCACAAGGCTGTATATTTTACAATAAATGTGACAGGCAGCAGTTGAGTGGATGCCCACTAACAGGCGCTGCCATGATGGATCTGAAATGACAGGTGCTCTTTAAATGTAAGGACTCATTCTTGCTGGTAGTTAGAATCTTTAATATTATTATTTGCAAACAAAATGAAGTTTTCCAATACAGCTTGCAGAGCTTGGATTCACTGAATGAATCCCTCACCTAGTTGTGTCACTGCCAACCATCCCATTAAAGTGAATGGGACTGTCGGTGAGTCAGAAGTGGGTCAGAGGAGCTGCTGCAGGACAGAGATGACAGTTGCTCTTTAAAAATTATGATTTAAATCGAATTGATTTAAATCAAGCCTTTTTAAATTGTGATTTAAATTGACTTGATTTAAATCAAATCCACCCTGCTCTATTCCTTTCCTCCTTCTTTCTCTTGTTCTAATTTTTACTTTTGAGGCTATAGCCCCGTGATGGCAAACGTTTTCCACGTTGTCTCCCAAAAGTGCGTGTGCTCGCATGCCTGCACCCATGATGCAATGCACGTGACTCCCCCGCCCCCTACACATGCACATGCGAACCCCCCTGCACTGCATGCCTCTGTGCATGCGCATGCAACTCTGACGTGTGCCTCTCCTCCCACGCATGCGTGGCAGATACCTGAAAATCGGCTAGTGGGGGGGCATGCGCATGCACAGTGGGGCTCTTCCAGGCAACCTCCTCGTGTGCCATAGGTTCGCCAACACAGCTATAGCCAGACCAAGAATAAATGCTTATATTGTTAATGTAATATAATTTCTGTAAAAATTAGAAAAAATAGATTTTATTTTTCAGCTTTCTAGATACAAAGTATATAGTTTAGAATCCTTGGTTTATGTTATAAAAAGCCTTCCTTCCTGGCCCATTACCTAATTTTGACACTAAGGAGATACAGATAGTTCAAATTAGCAGCTGCCTGGTTTAATGACTTTTCAGAATTAAAATGATGATGAAAAAGTAATTTTTGTGATCATTCTTTGCATTTATGACTTTTGCAGGTCTATAAAGCAAAGGAAAGCTGAAGTAAGATCATAAGCATAGTAGCGGTTTCATTTAATGACCACTTCCACTTAATGACCGAGTTGCTGGTCCCAATTGTGGTCCCGCCAAAAAGAGCTTCCTGTACAGGTAGTCCTCGATTTACAACAGTTCATTTAGTGACCATTCAAAGTTACAGCAGCACTGAAAAAGTGACTTATGACCATTTTTCACACTTACGACCATTGCAGCATCCTCATGGTTATGTGATTTACATTTGGATGCTTGATAACTGACTCACATTTATGACAGTTGCAGAGTCCCCGAGTCATGAGATCCCCTTTTGCGACCTTCTGACATGCAAAGTCAGTGGAAAAACCACATTCACTTAACAACCACATTACTAACCTAACAACTGCAGTGATTCACTTAACAAAATGTGGTGGGGGAAGTAATAAAATGGGGCAAAACTCACTTAACACATTTCTCATTTAATAATATAAATTGTGGTTGTAAGTTGAGGACTATTTGTACTTTGCAAAAGTCAGTCTTGTTTAGCAACAATATTAAATTGCTTTAAATATATAATCAGTCACAGACCAACTATACTTCACACTATTAATATGGCCTAAATTAAGTTTGGAAGCAGGATAAAAATCAGCAACAGGGAAGAATGCACAGAGTACTTGTTTCTGAAGTAGAAAAAGATTCAAGGGAATATGTTGTGCTCATGAAAGATGGAAGGTATTATAGCAGCCCAGAGTATAGGTTTAATGGCTAATAGGTGGGGTGGGATGTTCTTTTCTAAGGCTGAGGTTGGATGTGATCGTTTATTTAGTTCTGTACATAGGTGTTTTCATTTGGTTATTGCATTTGTTTTCAAAGTAAAAGATATGTCATTACCCAGATATGATAGGCTATAGTTCACTTCAGTTGTGCTCAGGTCAATGGAAAATTAAACAATAACTGAAGGATTGCATGTTGCTTCCCCTCCCTGTACTCTATGTTATCGATAAAGAATCAAAGTGAACAAATTAATGAAGAATATGACACATAATGCATAATTAGTACATTAGTACTTATTTTATAAGTCTTACCCCTAGATTTGGATTTCTAGTTTGCTGTTGCTTCCTCTGCTAATAAAGATATCCAGGAAAGGTACTGTGAAGCAGCATCTAGAAGCTATAACACCTCTATATTTACAACCAAAATTATGAATCCAGTATGTAGGCAACACTTTATCATCATCATCAATAATAATAATAAAAAGAGAAGACACATTAAATAATCAACAATATCATTGAAGGAATAAAATTTACAATGAAAGAATAAAACAATGTACAATTACTTGAATGCACTTACACTTACTCTATCATACTCAGTGTATCTGAATTTTGAAACATTATATTTAAAATGATTTTAGTAGTTCTATGTTTATCTCTCTTTGTGCCATACTTTAATAAATATTTTTTTTTAAATTTACAATGGAATATTAAGTTATTTTTAGAAAGTTCTTTATGAAATCCATTATACAATCTTATAACACATTTATGATCGTCTCACTGACATAGGGCATGTATCTTGTAATAGTATTTTTGATGCAGCACTTACATGCCTTACCTACAAGTACAAATACTGCAGTTCTCTACTGTTATATCACTAATATGTAAATGTATACAGATTTTAATTGATATACATTAATTGATAGAAATACATATGATTCAAGTTTCATCAAATCATGATTACTTTGCAATATGCATTTTAATTTTAGTTGTCCCCAAAGTGTTTGAAATTAAAAATATGTTCTTAAGCTGATAAAATGACATTTAACATGGAATGACCCAAATGAATTTTGTTCACAGGGATATCAAACCAGACAATATCCTGATGGATGTGAATGGACATATTCGGTTAGCAGATTTTGGTTCTTGTCTGAAGCTGATGGAAGATGGAACGGTAAATTAGATTTTTTTTAATAGACTCAGTTAAAATGTACTTTCAGACATCTTTAATATTTAAACCTTATTAACCAATACAGTTTGGGATTATATTCGATATAAAGAAGAATTGTTGGTTACTAAATTATTCTTTTGAGCAATGGTGTTGGAGCTATAATAGAAATCAATTTTAATTCTTCTGGCTGGATATACTATAATATTCATTCACTTTGCACTCCTTTTATGTTCCTTCACCAAATATCTTACTTTACCATCATTGTCCATAAATATTTAATAATTCCCATTATCCTGTGACTCTTCCATTTTTTATAGTTATATAGTTCTATATCATAATATCTACCATAGGTTTTGAATGATATCTTTATTTGTTCTGTCAGTGATCTATTTCACCATAGAATTTGGGTTCTGAGTGCATAATTTAGTTGCTTTCATTGTAGAACAAACAAAACAGATATAATAATTGATAATGAAAGAGAATATGTGGATTATAACAGTTAAGAGGAATTGAGATTCATAGAAGGGAAGACAAAGTATTCTTTTTAGTGTCAGTTGCCTGACATGTTATTCAAGCTGTTAGGGGTCTGTTATAGCTGGACATTAATCACATGAGAATTGGTGTATCAGGTACAACATTACTGTCAATATACCAAGTATAACAGAATAATTTAATTTGTATTATCCTGTTCTATAGCCACTATTATAACCCTGATATTTTGACTGCATTGCTCTTGCTAAAATAAATGAAATAATGTGGAGATGAATGTGTAAACATTTCCTTTCTTCGTTTGTGTAATATTTTTTTAAAGTATTTTATAATCCAGCAGTGTAACTGGCCAGTTTTACAAAAATGTGTACTTTAAAGTTCTTTAAACTTTTGTTTTGTTTTATGATACACATATAAAAGATAACAGCCATTTAGAATTGTATCACAGAATACAAATTTTACACTGATCATACCATCCTGGAGAACTTTTCTTCAATTTCTTATGTACCTTTCCAATATTTTAATATAGCATGGGTGGCAGAGCAAAATGAAGCTCTGTACTCCTTTCTGGAATTTTATGTCCTTAAGCAACAAAGTTAGGCATTGAAAAATATCTGCAGTGCAGTCAGTTTTACTTCGTTTTTTGCTGTGAATTAATAGAACTTGATTTTATTATTAAATAATTTTGTTTAGTAATAATGAACAAATATATCTATTCTGATACTTCATAGCAAGTCTTTTGAATATTTCAGCATTTTAAAATATAAAAAAGTTTCTAGTCTTCCTTCCTTCCTTCTACTGATTCATACCAGTAGTTTTTCTTGCAATCTATCTCATGAAATGGTCTTCTCTATGATTTGTGTTGTCTCATTATTTTTGAATGTTATCTGTATGTTCTCTTCTGGTCCCCAGTCTTGAATATTGAACCTAGATCTTCGTGTGTGTTTTTTGAAAAGTATCAGAAACATGTGAAAAAATATAAATCCTGTTTGCATTCTAAAAATACAGCTACTTACTTTCTGCCAAATCTGTGATAAAATCCAGAGCCCATTTCTGCCTGTTTGCAGCTGTTGTGTGTGTTCTAGTATTTCCTAGTTATAATTTATAATTAGGTTAAATATCTAGTTCTATATCACTTGCTATTATTATTACTTTTTGTTTTCATTACTCCAAGTCCTGGCAAAGTATTTTAGATTTTTTTAAAAAGTGAAAATGTGCAGTTTGTTAACACAATCTTTCAGTATTTGATACAATCTGGAAGAAATACAAGATTGTATATAGATGTGGACTTTTTCTTCACTGCAAGTTCAGGAACAAGATAACAACTATAGCTAATAAATGCCAGATTGCTATTAGGATTTTTAATCTGTCATGGTGGAAAACATTTTTCTTTAATTCCATCTACTCATACCTATCACTACTTTAAATATAAATGAATCTGTTCCTATACATATAGAAACAGAAATAGTGTTATGGGTAATGTTTCACTGTGAAATAATAATTCCTACAGGTTCAGTCTTCAGTGGCAGTTGGAACACCAGATTATATCTCTCCAGAAATTCTGCAAGCCATGGAAGATGGGAAAGGAAAATATGGTCCCGAATGTGATTGGTGGTCCCTTGGTGTTTGCATGTATGAAATGCTTTACGGAGAAACACCTTTTTATGCTGAATCTCTGGTGGAGACATATGGAAAGATAATGAACCACAAAGTGAGTGAGCTATTCTTGTATGTAGAAATGAATGACAGCATCCAAGGAATCTAGAATTATTTTGCTTAGTGATTCATTTATATATTTTTCTGCCTGTGTTTAGTATATTTCTTTTCAAAATGCATTTCTCATGGCAGCTCATGATAGAAAATAGTAGAAGGCATACCAGATTATGAAACTGTTGTAAATTAATTCAGTTAAGATATTTCTTTAAATTAAAATATTAATTGCTTTGCATATTTGATTTACTTATTGATTGACTTGACTTTAACTACCCTAACATTTTTATTGATATTCTTGTTGGTTAATGACATTGGTGAAATCTAATGAAATGGTTTTTCTAGTGAAACTGCTTCTGAAAATGGATCAGATGGAGGGAATAGTGCCTCCTCCTGCCCCTATATAATTTTCCATGTGTCCAGAAGAACGACAAAATTAGGAAAAGATCATTAGTGCAAACAAATATTGTTGTGGGTTTGAATTTCATCTTCTGAATTCTGTTTTTGGGTGCTGCCTCCAAAATTGCAACCAGATATAAATGTTTCATTCTCCCATGAGCTATTCAGAGCATCCAGTAGTGGGAGGTGCTTCAGTCTCTGCATGTCTAGGATGGGCTTAATTTGTGAAACGCTCCTCCTCCTCGGTGGGAGTCCTCCCCAGCATTCCCCAGTTTTGTCTCAGCCTCGTTGAGGATAGGCAGTGCTTTTTGTTCTTCCTTGGCCGAAACAGGAGAATTATTCAGCAGGTTTGGAAATAGTCCAGTTTGTTTTTTCAGGCTTTTACCCTCCAAATCACATTACAATCTCCCAACGTTAGCTCTCTCCATCTGGCCGTCGGAGATCGTTTGCATTTTCGGGCAGCGCCATTTCACGCACGAAAGCAGCAGGCGGCTTTGGCATTGCTCTGAGCCCCCCCTCAATTGCTTCTTCTACCCCCTGCCATTGTGATTCCGCATTGCCTTTTTTTACATCGGCAATAGCGATGTAGGTGTTTTTGCCCTCATCCGAGTAGTATTGTTTGATTTTTCCCCTCAGAACACCATCTTGGTGTGGAAAGCATAAAAGCTTAATTCTTTCCACCCCTTTCCCGGCCGTTTCTAAGCGACAAGGAGAAGCCGTCGGAGGCATTTTCTCCACGCAGCGGGAGTTTGTTGCTGGGAAGCGCGTGCCCTCCAAAAGTAACGGCCATTGTTTTGCTTTTGTTTTAAAGACCGTGTGGCTGCGCTATTTGTAACTCGAGCTATGTGAGGTAGTTTTCCTTCCCGATCAGAGGTTTCTCTTCAGATAACCTAAGGAATTATTACATCTCGTTTTCTTATTAGATTCAAGGCCATCCGTGCATTATTGTTGGCTTAACCCTTACAGCCTTACCCACCCAGTGGCACAACAGCGAGCACCCAGGCCTGTGTCCGCCTGTGCAGGGAAGCTGTTGAAGGCCTCTCTTTATTATCTTGGCCTTTTCAGGTGTTCTTAATTTGGCTGTTTGGATATTCACTATATCAAGCTGTTTTCTATTAATTTAGATATATATATTTATATCTATATATATTGGTGATTAATAATAATAATAATAATAATAATAATAATAATAATAATAAATAATTTACAGATAATAATAAATATTCAGTATTAATATCTTAATAACGAAAGATATTATTACTGTGATACGACTCATTCATATATATGTGTGTGTATGTATGGTATTCAGCTTTGTTCAGGTATTTTCTCATGTCATTATAGTTGTGCTTTTAAAGTTGTAGCAACATTTCGGCAGAATCTCATCAGCCATCATCAGGCTTCTGTATTGTATTCGTCTGTGAGTCAGACTTTCACAGCCGTTTCTGTTTTAAATTTGGTGCTAGCCTACTGCTGTGCCAGAATGGTTTTTTTCTTCATCCTGATTGGTTGGGAGTCTTGGTCTGTGTTTATTGGTCTTGGAGTTTGCTGTGTTCTGCTTGATTGGTGTTTCTAATATCTTCTGTCTGTTTTGTAGCTTTTTTTATCTTGATTGGCTGGCAACATTGTGTTTCCTGTATTGGAGGCTTTTAGTGCGGCTTGGCTTCGAGTAAACGGACAGCTATCATTTATTAGGAAGCTAGGTTTCATCTGGGTGCCTGGTTGGGGTGTGTTTGAGCTGGAGGTATCAGGGGGAGTCTGTTTGTGCCCAGGTGTTTGGCTGGCTTGTGGTGTGGAGATTTTTTTGTTTGTGAGTGCAGGCTTCCAAATAATTGACAGTCTGGTGGAGTCATCTCTTCTATTCATGCTTTCAGGTCTTTTTTCAATTTCTATGGCTTCCCTGATAATTCTGTGGCTGGGGTTTTCTATAGTGACTAGGGTTTTGGTGCCACTGAAGTCGATGCTATGACTTGTGGCTTTCATGTGTTAGACTAGTGAGGAAGTGTGTTCCAGCTTTTTTACTGTATTTTTGTGTCCATCCAGGCAGGTACTTATTCTTCTATTGGTCTGTCCAATGTATGTGGCAGGGCATGATGCACAGGGAACTTCATATATGCCTTGGTTTTCCAGGTTAATTTTATCTTTGGGGTTTCTTAGGATGGCTGCTATTTTTCTGTCTATTTTGAAGGCAGACTTGATGTGATGCCTGTGTAGTATCTTACTGATTTTGTCTGTAGTACCTCTTATGTAGGGCAGGACAGCTGTTCCATAGGTCTGTTCATCTTCTAGGTCTCCATTATGTCTCAGTGTGTTTTTGTGGATCAGGCCAGTGATTTTGCTTTTGTGGAAGCTGTTAGCTGTCAGTTCTTTAGTCAGGGTGCATAGTTCAGTCTTTATGTGTGTCTTGTCTGCCAGGCGTTTGGTTCTGGCAGTTAGTGTTTTGGCCACGGAGTTTATCTGTGCAGGGTGGTGGTGGGATTGGGCGTTGAGGTAGTGGTTGGTGTGTGTTTTTTTCTGGTATATGGTGTGTCCTAGTGTGCCATCTGTTTTTTTTTTTTTGTAGATTAGTACATCTAGGAATGGTAGTTGTTTGTTTGTTTCCATTTCCATGGTGAATTTGATTTTGGGGTGTGTGCTGTTTAGGTGTATTAGGAAACTGTTTAGGTTTTCTTTTCCATGGGGCCAAATAGAAATGTGTTATCGATGTATCTTAACCATAGTTTGGGTTTGTGGGTGGCATTGGCTAGGGCTCTGGATTCAAATTCTTCCATGAACAGGTTTGCAATGAATATATATACATGAAGGGGATAAGATATTATCAGGGCAACCGGTCCCTTTTTGGATCAGGCCCCTGGGCGTGTCAACCACCTCCACAGTATCGCTTTAAATAACGAGCATACTGCATTTCTTTCAATCAAAATGGCAGGCAGTAGTAGCTCTCAGACCTTAAAGATCAAAGCTAAATCTCAGCACAAATCTAAGCAGACAAAAGGTCATTCTAAAGCTTCAGAAAAGGATGCCAACAGGCGCTATAAAGCATTAGAAAAACAAATATATAAGTGTACAAGGGAGGCACACAGGGCCTCACAGGACTTTCCGCCCCCCAGTCCAGGACCGTCTACCTCTTCCCACCCTCCTCCTCCCCTAGATCTCTCCCTCTCATCCAGGTGCAGCTTAGTTCCCCAGAGTCAACAGGCCCAGTTAACTGGATCATTGACCACGCAAAGGGCTCCCAAAGCTACATTCACTCCAACGGCTGCTGGTCTTCGAAAGGACGACATTCTTCCAGAGAAAGTTCCAGAGAGGATGAAGGCATGGATGGAGCTGGCAATCCGCCAGGGAATTGCAGCAGGTCTTCAACACGCAGTTCTGACAAGGGAACATCCTGTAACCGCTGATTATGATTCTCAATCACTAAGGTCGTTGACCAGGTTGGAGCAACACTATACCCAGGTACAGTTACAGGGGGAAGCGCCCCTCCAAGAGCTGACGGAGGAGGAGGAGGAGGCGGAAGAAGTGGATCAAATTGATCAAATGGAACAGATTGAATCAGGATCAATACATGACAGTGACCCGGCCCTGTCGGAAGCGGACCCCTTAGAAAGGGGGATGTCTGAGGATGAGGGCCTTGTTCCCGATCAACCTGTATTTTCAGGCTTATTCCACCCACAACTATTCAGATCACTCTTGTTTAAGGCAAAAAAAATTGCGCACCTGAACAAGTTGACCCCTTCTACCACTCCAACTCCTTCAGAAGAGGGACCAGAAGATCTAATTTTCAACCAACCAGTAGTCGAGGCAGATGTGATTCCATTTCCTCACATGTTTTTGGACCTGGTACAGAAACAGTGGGCGTCTGCAGCCGTGTACCCTGCCCCCATGGGATATGACAGGAAATATTTTAATTTGCCCCCTGATTTCTCAAAATTGTTCAATACTCCCGAGGTAGATGAACCTATAGTGGGATTAGCGTCCTCGTCCTCCATTCCCAGTGAAGCGCTGGAGGCATTAAAGCCGGAGGAAAAACGGGCCGAGCTAGCCCTATGCAGGGCCCATCAGTCTGATGCGTGGGCCATCAGAGCGGCCACGGCTGCTTCCTTCTTTACCTGTTCTTCTCTCAGGTGGCTCCGTCTCTTACAGGAGCATGTCCCTAATTCCAACATTAGAGCGCACCAAGATATTGCAAAACTTATAGCAGCCGCTGAATTCTCAGCTGACGCAACTTATCATGCGGTCAAGTTTTCAGCCAGAGCCATTACTTCACATGTCACAGCGGGACGCTTACTATGGTTAAAACATTGGCAAGCAGACATTAAGCACAAATTCAAGCTGGCTTCATCTCCTATTGCGGGAGACAGACTGTTTGGCCCTGCCCTCGACCCGCTGCTAATCGAAACCCGAAACAAAAAGAAAATTCTACCTTCCCTTTTTCGGAAGTCAGATTCTAGAAACTCTCAGTCCTTTCGTAGGGGATCCTTTCGGCCCTTTTATCAGGGACCCTTCTCACCCAGATACCAGAGACCCCTATCATTCAGACCAGGGCAGCATCCAGAGGGGTCTGACTTTGGGGATAGGAACAGAAGGGGTGGCCAATCCAAGAGATCCTTTCGAGGAGCAGGAAATAGGTCTTTCCAGCACCCAAGATAACTCCCTGTACCCAACTCCCATTGGCGGATGCCTTAAATTATTCGCGGACCAATGGGACTCCTCAACGTCTGATTCCTGGGTCAGAGACACAATCAGATTTGGCCTTGCGCTGGAGTTTCAATCCACTCCCCCAGACTTCTTCATGTCATGTCCTCTTTCCAGAGATCCGGTTAAACGCAATCTTATGGAAACAGCTATCCAACATCTACTGGACATACGAGCCATCCAACCAGTAGCTACCAACCAATGAGTGCGAGGTTTCTATTCACATCTTTTTGTTGTTCCCAAAAGTTCGGGGGGGTGATGGAGAGCAATATTAGATCTGAAACGTCTTAACCGTTTCTTAGTATATCGCAAGTTTAAAAATGCATACTCTGCAATCTATCTTACTCGGCATCAGAAAAGGTGACATCCTTACATCTATAGATCTGACAGAGGTGTACCTACATATTTCTATTCGGCCTTCCCACTATAAATTTTTGAGATTCTGTTATAATAACCACCATTTCGAATATGTGACCCTTCCTTTCGGACTAGCTTCTGCCTCCAGGACCTTCACAAAGGTTCGCGCAGCTCTCGCTGCTCATCTCCGAGGTATCCCTGTACGACTCCAGTGTTACCTTGATGAAATATTAATTTTGTCATCTTCCCATCATCAAGCAGTCGGAGATACTCAGACCACATTACAATCCCTACAACAACATGGGTTCTCAATCAATTGGAAAAAGAGTCATTTAATCCATCTGGGGGCAGTCATAGATACGGTGGAAGGCAAAGTTTTCCTATCACCAGATAGACAAAACAGCATTCATCAATTAGTTAAGGAGATCAGGGTTCATAAGAAGGTGTCCCTAGCTGAACTAACAAAATTGTTAGGCAAGATGATCTCATGTATATCTATTATTCCTTGGGCCCGGCTCCACACTAGATCCCTCCAGTGGTTCCTGCTCCCGTACCAGCGCTCCAGCCGAAGTAAATCCAAATATATACTCAATCACTCACAGCCCAAGGCCGCTGGTCCTCTATAGAATAGTCGTGCAGCATAAACTGGCTGGAGCTTCGAGCAGTACACCTGGCTCTCCGCAGCTTCCTTCCACAGGTACGCAATCAACACATATTAACATTGACTGACAACGTAACAGCAAAAGCTCCCATAAACAAACGGGGGCACACAGTCGAAACACCTTATGCGGGAAGCGGAGCGCTTGTGTCGTTGGTTGGAGAACAACCTGCTTTCCATCAGAGCAGAGCACATTTCGGGCCTGTTGAATACACAGGCAGACTGGCTAAGCAGGGCCACGATCGATCAATCGGAGTGGCGCCTCCATCCGATCCTGTTACAAGAGGCGGTCAGGAGATTCAGGCAGCCGGTGGTAGACTTGTTCCCTTCCCCCCTCAACTCTCAGCTCCCCAGATTCATTTCTAGGTACCCCTCACAAGGAGTGGAGAACTTCAACACACTCCGCTGCCGTTGGCCCCCGGGACTTCTGTATGCATACCCGCCACTTCCACTGGTTCCCAAGGTCATCCAGAAGCTGCTGGATGAAAGGGTGGACCTGCTGCTAGTAGCTCCTTACTGGCCCAGGCGGCCATGGTTTGCAGACCTCCGCAGTCTATTCTTATCAACACCATGGAGAATTCTGCCGGACTGGGTTTTGCTAACCCAGGGACCCCTTCAACATCCGGACCCTCAATGCTTGCACCTGACCGTCTGGAGGTTGAGTGGAGATGTCTGAAGAGCGAAAAGTTTTCCAACAGAGTTATTGCTCCCATCCAAGCTGCCAGACACCCCTCAACAACCCGCATTTACAATGCCACGTGGTCCAGTTTCTGCAAATGGTGTACTAAGTCTCAAATTGATCCCATCTCTTCACCAGTGGCTCAAATCCTAGAGTTTTTACAAGAGGGGTTTGACAAGGGATTATCACCTAATACGTTGAAAAGACAGGTGGCGGCCTTGGCATCGGTTGTCACTTGTGAGGGTCTACTGTCTCTTTCTCATCACCACGCATACGGAGTTTCCTTCGAGGAGCCACAAATTTACACCCGCCAGCGGTTCACTTGGGACCTTAACAAGGTCCTCATTGCACTCACTAAGTACCCTTTCGAACCCTTGAAATCGTCAAGTCTCCCATTTCTGATGTATAAAGTAGTTTTCCTTGTAGTGATCACTTCCGCTTGTCGTATTTCGGAACTGGCAGCTTTGTTGATCAGACAAGACTTTGCATCTTCCATTCTGACCGGGTGGTCCTTTGTCCTGATCCTACGTTTATACCCAAAATTAATTCGGCTTTTCACAGGGCACAAGAGCTGATACTTCCTAATTTCTGTCCCCTGCCATCCCAAGGGTTGGAACTACAATGGCATCGGCTTGATGTGAGACAAGCATTGCAAATATATTTTCACTGCACAGTGACTTTCAGAAAAACAGAAGCTTTATTTGTGTCATTTCAACCCAACATTCAGGGATGCAAGGCCTCATCTTCCACAATAGCGAAAACGTATCAGACTCAATCACTACATTATGCCATGGGGCATAACAGCTCATTCAACAAGTAGCGCCACAACATCGGCAGTGTGGGCCACGCAGGCACCAATAACTGAAATTTGTCAAGTCGCAACCTGGGCCTCTCCATCGCCCTTCATTAGGCATTATAAAATAGATGTGTTTGCATCTGCTGAGGCCTCCTTTGGCAGAAGAGTTCTGCAACGGGTCCACAGGGACCAGGAGGGGAGTCCAAGCCAGATGGAGTCCCTCCCGTCGGACAGGCCAAGCTTTGGTATGTCCCACTACTGGATGCTCTGAGCAGCTCATGGGAGAAAAGGCGTTGGTACTTACCTGACACGCCCGTTCTCTTTGAGCTGTGAAGAGCATCCAGCTCTACCCTTTTTCCGTCTGGTGGGGTCCTGTTTTGGCCAACGAATTGTTAGGGCATTGAGGGCGAAGATGTTTATTTATCTCGTCTTCGCCAAAACTGAGGAATGCTGGGGAGGAGTCCCGTGGAGGAGGAGAAGCGTTCCACAAATTAAGCCCAGCCTAGACATGCAGAGACTGAAGCACCTCCCACTACTGGATGCTCTTCACAGCTCAAAGAGAACAGGCATGTCAGGTAAGTACCAATGCCTTTTTTATGTGACAAAAGAATAAATAACATTCTCAGGCAGTACTCATATTAATTGTACTGAGTTAATTTAATAAGCACTACAACCACTGACTAGAAACAAGGATGTCTTCTTGTTAAAAGAAGTTCAGTCACTGTTGCAATTAGACTGAATCTGTCAATTTTGATTTTTCTTAGTTTGTTTCTGCCTGGTCAATTAGTTTGCAAGAATAGTATGACCTCACATCTTCCTGCAAATTTTATTTCATGTACTCCTTATTTTTTATGGTGCATTTCCTAGTATGCGTATCTCTTTTCAAAACAGGTACTGTATCTCTGATATAAAATATTCTGTGCATACTTCCCCAAAACATGTATTTTATGAATTTCTAAGTGCATAACAAAATTCTAAAAACTCTAGATTTCAAAATACAAATGTTGAAAATTTCTTAACAATTTGTGCTTATACTTCTGAATAAATGTATTATGGAAGATGCTTCCTTGGAGAAAGTGGTAACACTCACATTATGTGGCAATACATTTGTACTTGATAATTTTCTGATGCAAGATATAAATGTACTCGTACAGAACCTATGGGGTTTTGCTTCTTGGGTTGTTGTGGTTAGTTTATGCCTTTTTGTAAAGAAATTAGCATTAGTTTATTAATTAGCATTCTTTTTTTCCTTTAAGGAGCGGTTTCAGTTTCCTGCCCAAATGGCAGATGTGTCTGAAAATGCCAAGGACCTAATTCGAAGGCTTATCTGCAGCAGAGAACATAGACTTGGGCAGAACGGAATAGAAGACTTTAAAAGCCACCCATTTTTTTCAGGGATTGACTGGGATAACATTCAGAACTCTGAAGCACCTTATATTCCTGAAGTCAGCAGTCCAACAGATACATCGAATTTTGATGTAGATGATGACTGTTTAAAAAATTCTGTAAGTAATGGAGGAGAGTATTTGTAATATGTTACATTGATATTTATGTATTTACGTTTAAATTTTCTATCTTACTTTTTACTAATATCCCAATCATTATTTAAGATAGGCAGCAAATGAACTTTACAAACAAATAAGTAAATAAAAATTACTGATAGACAATTACGATCAAACTTTATGTCTGTTGGGTCACAAAACATGGAAAGAAGCTGAACAATAAGCTTTTATTAATTTCTAAAATAAGAAAAACTTGCAATCGGACACTCCAAAAAAGAATAGTTTTTATTGTTTTCTCAGCTTTTTGTTCTGTACATTTTGGTGGTATAAACATTGCTGGAAATAAGAAGCATTGAAACAGAAGCAGTTTTATACTACCATAAATGATCAAGGAGGCCAGCGGTAGTGTTTCTGTGATGGTCTTTTCAAATCTGCTACTTTTTCTGAACCAGAATACCCATTGTGCTAATTTTACCTGAAATTAATACAAATGGATTAACCTTTTCTAAATTAGTAAACTCTTCTTATTCCTTTAAACCTCAGGAGACAATGCCTCCACCATCACATACTGCATTTTCTGGCCATCACCTGCCATTTATAGGATTCACATATACAAGTAGCTGGTGAGTAACCAGTTTTTTTATATTAAATTATAATAGAATAGCTCAATTATTTTGTGATTTAAAAATAAAATAGAATTAAATGTAAGTATTTCATTGCATTATTTGTTAATATTTGTTTCTGTAGTGTGTGCATTTTACATAAAAATTTTGAACCAATTGTGTAATACAAAATTCATAGGGCACATTGTTTCCATCTTCATAGTAATACAGAAAATGCAGATTGTATAATAAAACTGCACACCAGACAAAATCCCTAATTTTTATATCCAATATATAGTTCTTGTTGGTTTTTCCTCTATCTAGAAAAATAATTTTAAAAAGGTAGAGGAGTCCCTGCAGATTTTACTCCACTAGTCATTGCCAACTGAAGAGGCAGTGCTCATCTCCATTTCAAGGCCATTGAGCCAGCACTGTCTGAAACATTTCCATGGTCATGCCAGCATGTCATCATAGATCAGTGTTACCTTTCTGCTGAAGTGGTACCTATTTATCTATTTGCATATGTATGCTTTCAAACTGCTAGGTTGGCAGGAGCTGGGGCGAAGACAAGAGCTCATACCGTCATGTGGAGCTCAGGTCTTGAACCTCGACTGCTGGCTTTCCAGCTGATAAGCCTAATGTCTTAACAGTGAGCCACCATGCCCACCCACCTAGAATAATAGGTGAATGCAAAATATTAAAAGGGCAAAACTACAAGGGTTTTTAATGGATAGAGACAAACATAACCATTGTTTTGCAGTGGCACTGCAAAATACTTATTCAATATGCAATTGGCTATTGAAAGGGCTGCTGACTGATAGAATACAGGACTTATACAGTTGGGCAAATTTATATCATAGATAATTTCCTTACCTGCATTATCTACGTATATACAATGCTGCTTAAAAGGTTGCTAATCTTTTTTGATTTTTTAAATATTTCTTCATAAATATGACTTAAAACATGATCCATACAAGCCCTAAAACTATATAAAGAAAGCCCAATTAATCAAATGAGTCAAAATCTTAATTGATTTATTGAATGTGTGGGAAAATTATGTGAACATCTAGGATGATCAGTTCATCTGAAGGAAAAATTAGAGTCAGGTATTTTGATTAATGGAAATCTGGAAATGGGGTGTGAATATGGAATCCTGCTTTGTTTAAAGTATTGAATTCTGGATATTCACTGTCAAAGTCTGATTTTCACAATACAGATATGTGGAAGTGTGTCATAATTTGGGGGGGCAGATTTCTACAGATCTCCAAAAAACAATTGTTGACACTCATCAGGCTGGAAAAGATTATGAAACTATTTCCAAAGAATTTGGACTCCTTCAGTCCACTGTCAGCAGATTTTGTACAATTGAAGGCAGTTTAACACCATTGTTACCCTCCCTAGGAATAGTCGACCAACCAAGATCACACTAAGAGCAAGGCATATAATACTTTGGGAAGTCTCAAAAAAATTTAAAAGAAGTGATGTCTAAGGAACTAAAGGCCCTAGGAACTAAAGAAATGAAATGGCCAAGTCCAAATCCTGTGCTTAATCCTATAGAAATATTATTGACCTCAGGTAGGCAGTTCATGAGAGGAAACATATTCACATCCCTGAGTTGAAGCTTTTCTGCAAGAAAGAATAGGTTAAAATTTCTCCAGGCTGATGTGCAGAAATCGATCAACTGAAAGCAAAGGTTCACATCGCTTTGAATCATTTCCAGGGGTGGGATTGAGCTGGTTCGGACCCGTTCAGGTGAACCAGATGTTAAATTTACATCTGGTTTACCAAACCAGTAGTTGGACCGACCAGCTGTCCCCGCCCGCCCCGCCTCACCCAGGAGTCTCCACGCAGCTCATTTTGGATGCAAGTAAGTGCATCCATGCAGTCCACGCGGAGGCTCTGGAAGAGCAAAAAATGGCCCTCCCAGAAATTCTGGAAGTCTGGAAACGGGCCTGTTTCCTTCTTCTGGAGGGCCTCCAGACCCCGGAGGAGGCCGTTTTCGCCCTCCCAGAGGCCTGAAGGAATCCTCTGGACTCTGGGGAAGGCGAAAAATAACCCTCCCAGAAGTTCCGGTAGGCCATACCCACCATGGCCATGCCCACCCAGCAATTGGGCAGAGAACCGGTGGTTGGGATTTTTATTTATTTATTTTTTAAACAAGTTTTATTCAGTTTTTCACATAGATTACAAAACAAAAAAGCTCTTTTGAGTAGACAACATAATTCCGGGTCACCACTTTTACATGCAAATATGACATGATTATATATTCATTTTTACATTCAGCTTCCTATCTTATCCAATTTTAACTTAACTCTATTATTACCTTTTCCATTCCAACTTTACAGAAGAAAAGAACAAACAAATTATTCCTGATCTCTGATATTAGTCTCAATCTAAACATCCCCTCAGTTCATTTCAATTATTTGAAGTATATTTCTTAAATATCAATATTTCTTTTAAAGATAAAAATAACAATATGCATTCACCTAATAAAAATTGTCAATGTCCCTCCTTCCTCTTAATAATCTATATTACCCTATTCCCATATCTTCATACTTATTACCTTTTAATTCTTTTATCTGTCAGATTTGCAGTTTCATCACATATTCTTTCCATAGGTTCTAGACTAACACAAGCTTGTATACAAGAAAAAAAGCATAAGTTCCCCCCCACCTTTTACTAATTTGAGTGTGTCCCCTCAGTGGTTTAAATAGACCTTAATTCCCTCACGTTAATTCCCAATAAACATTTGTTTTTAACTAGTTATGATAATAGTCATTCCCTAATAAACTATATATCTTTCCGTCAGATTCCGCAATGTATTTTCCCCCTTTAATTTCATAGAATTTATTTATAGTTTCAAAACAAAAATAAGAAAAAAAACAAATAATCCATTTTAACTAATCCTGGTCACTGATATTGATCTCACTTTTAAACATTCTCACAGTGCGTTTCAATTATTTCAATTTATTTAATACACATTGACATTTCTTTTAAAGATAAGAATAAAAATATGCATTCACCTACTAAAGAATATCAATGTCCATCTGGTTGTTGGGATTTTTAAATCCCACCCCTGATCATTTCCCTCAATAAATGAATGAACAAGTACAACGTGTTTCACTCGTTTGTTTAATTCGGTTCTGTTTATCTAGTTTTAGGACTTGCATGGAGAACAGATCATGTTTTAGGTCATACTTTTGCAGAAATATTGAAAATTCAAAAGGCTTCACAAATCTTTTAGCATCACTGCATAATTGGAGAAAGTATACCTAACTATGTGGGTAATTTGTAGTTATTTTTTTCTACTGACAGAGCTATTTCATTGCTGGAATGGGGAGAGGTGACAAAACTATTCTCTTCCTTCCTTATGAGTGTCGCCACTTAAAATTGACTCTGTATATTTGGAAGATCATTAGAAATCAATTTGGAGGGGAATAAGAGGGAAGAGGGACAATCTTTGTGAGTGGATTTCATCAGAATGTTCAAATGGATTTCTACTTGAATTATATGGGATTTCAATTGCAATTTATGATGGCCTCATTAATACATTTACAAAAAAAATGTACAATAAAAAGACCTTACTGTTTCCAGTTTTCTGTTGGAATGTATATATGAACTTTTAATTATCCTAATATGAAAGTCATAAAAATCACTCTGTTAAAATATTCTAAACCTGATAAGTATCTTCTCAGTGTCCTTTCGGATCGTAGTACTCTAAGATTTGCAGCTGGGCAACGTGTAATGGAACTTGATGCCAATGTTCAAAGAACACTAGAAGATACCTTAGCTACAGAAGCATATGAGAGACGAATAAGACGTTTAGAACAAGAAAAGCTGGAACTTAGCAGAAAACTTCAAGGTATTCCTATGTAAAGTACACATGATTATCTATTTAGGTCAATTTTGGATTCCATGACTTAAGTGGTGAAAAGACTTATATTACTACATTTTCAGTAAAAACAGTATTTGAAAAGATTCAGCATATAATTGGACATTAACAGATTATTTTGCAACTTTGTCTAGATGCATAATACTTTGACAGTATAACAAATTTTACAGCTACTATTAACTTCAAATTTGTCTGATGTTTTAACTTGACTGCATTGAACTTGAGCAAACTTCATGATGCTTGCCATTCCAGACAAGAATTTTGCACAATTCAGTCCTCATATTCCAGATAGCAGCCTGCCAATGTGTTGTATATTTTTTTAGATGAAGGATATCTTTCCCGAGCTGGAGACAAGATGTTCTTTTAGTTGAATTACTCTGCTTTTTGTGTGGTCATATGGTGCAATATGTGAGAACTACTTTGAGACTTAAATGTGTGGAAATAGTACCTATTTTAAACTTAGCACAAATGTCATCACTTGGTAAATTAGCTAACGTACTGTTTTTTAAAAAATAGAATCAATGTAATAGTGTAAGATTCATTTTCTTACTGTCCTTGATCACTAGAAGAAAGTAAAGGTCATCCCCTTATAGTGAAGTTCAAAAAGTTTGGCATGACAGAAAGTTTTATAGAATCTTTAGATTGGGGTCCAAAAATTGTCAGGCCACAGATACTTCTTGGGTACCATATTATGATTTTTAAATGTCAAAATATATAGTTTGAAAATTTTGAATGCAGTTTCTTATATCTTCCTTGCTTTTTTAAAGAGTCCACACAAACAATCCAGGCCCTACATTATTCAACTGTAGATGGTCCATTAACAGCAAGCAAAGATTTAGAAATTAAAAGCCTAAAGGATGAAATTGAAACATTGAGAAAACAAGTCACTGGTAAGTACCAACACTTAATATTGAAAACATTACAAAACATCACAGAGCAGAGAGATTGCCTAAAAAGGTGGCCTCTTTAGATAATCTTTCCTGTCTCATATGTCTTTTTTTCCTCCTTCCCCTCTAAATAGAGAAATTGGAGAAAAAAGAATTACAAGAGAGTAAGTAGGCACATAATGGGGAATACACATGAAAAGGGATGCAGTAATGCTGACTATTTGCCAACCAGATAGCCTAAGGTTAATTAGTTAATTTCCTTTTTGCCAATTATCCTAACATCTGGGTAAGCATTCCATAGGCTGGGGAAATTTTTTCACATTCATTCCTGTTTCTCTGGTTCCCTATCAGTGAAGAAATCATTGAAACTTACTAAAGTGTTTTCTTGCTTCATTTCTGCTTATAAGATCATTTAACCAAACTGCATTTTCCACCTTACTATTTCTAACTTTTGCATTCAATTCTCCAATCACCAAGCAGCATGTCTACTTGCATGTTCTGTTGACTTTATATTGAATTTGACTATTAGATTAGTCAACTTCATTTTCTTCTACGTTAGTGGTTGGAGCATAAATACTAATAACTGAAGGCTGTCCTGCAATGCCCAAATGATTTGGTTAACTGACTGCATTTACCTATATACATTGTACCTAAATACTGTCTTTGCTGTATAGTCTCCCTGATAATGAAATGGTAGAGAAAGGGATAACCAAAATGAAGAAATGAGAGTGCCATTATTAATATGTCCCGGTTAGCAAATAAGATTATAACAAGAGGACATGGTTAATTTCTGTCCTGAATAAAAGCATGGAGTATATTGTTTGTTCTTTTATTTTCTGCTATTATAAAAGTAAGGATTCAACAGTAGGTCACGTTAGAATTCACTAATGGCAAAAAGATAGATGAAAAATCTTATTATACAAGTTGCTATAATAAGGCCTGTAATAGTTACTAGCTTTAAAGGGAGATTTTATAAATCCATCAATAAATCTTAGTCACAATTACAAAGTAGAGTTTCCAATTCTTAATTCTGTTCCCTGTGATTTCCATATATGGAGTTTTGCATTTTCATAATAGCATATCTAGAATATTTAAAGCCTAATATTTTGGGTGAGTGTCTCATCCAAATCTGTACAGGGAAGAAGTAAAGGAGCTGCCTCTGCACATTCTTCCATTATCTTTTAATCAACTTCATCTAAAATTTAGATTTAAATCTCTGAAGTTTGGATTTCAAAACTCAAAATTAATATTTAAAACAATCAAATTAATTTAAAAGATTTGGATGGGAAAAAAGATTAAGACTTCAGAAAAAAAATGAAAGTTAAGTATACCTTCTAAGTGTACTTACCTGGCAGGGAAGATACCTTGATCACAAGCATCTTTGAGATAGTTTCATAGCTGTCGCTCAGATATTTAGGCCCTGAACTTTTAAGGGATTTGAAAATCAAAAACTATTTGATTGTCCCTATATTAATTTATCAAAATTAACATAGTATGATCTTAGTATTTTTGTGGAAGATGGTATCAGAACTCAGCAATATGGTAGTACCTTTATTGTCTAATAAATTTTATTAAGAGGAATAAGCTTTTGTGAACCTTTTACTAAGTTGCTAGTTAGAAAAGGTTCTACAAATTTATGATTAGTTAGTATTTGTAGTAGTGCCCAGAGCTATTTTCATTGTGCAGGTTTTGCTAATGACAGAGCCAGTTTGGTATAGTGATTAAAGATACTAGCCTAGAAATTGTGAGTTCTTGGCCTGCAATAGGCCGTGCCATAGGCACAAAGCCAGCTAAGTAACTTTGAGTCAATCACTTTCTCTTAGCTCTATGAAGAAGGCAATGGCAAACCACTTCCAAAAAGGTTGCCAAGAGAAGTGCACTGGACTTGCCCATGCAGTTGCCAAGAATCCAGACTGACTGGAAGGCAGAAAATCAATCTCTCTTAGTGTCATCACCTTCGTTGCTCCATTTTGCATGATAGAGCTTCCAGACATTCTTCATAGTCTTACATAGACACTGTATAGTCTAACAGTGATTTAGCCAAGTCTTTGGTATTCATTGCCAGATCCAAAAGCTCTAGAAAAATTACAGATGTTACAGTAGATGCACTGTAACAACTGTGGCATCAAGGAGCACTTCCAGACTACAGATCTATATTTTTAAGGGAAGGGTATGCAGTATCTGTTGCCATCATAAACTGAGAATTGTGGATTGTTAAGCAAGTACTTGTCCAATCCAAGTCATTCCAGGCTTGATCCCTTTCAGTCCCAACTGTCTCCAACTTATTATCCGACTCGCTTTTCTTTCCCCACATTTTTCCCTGCCTTGTGGGGCAGCAAGCATCCCTAGAACTGTGGGGCTCTAGGGCTGCTTGTCGCACTCTGGAAAACAGCAGCTGCCTGAGTCCAGTCCCAGCCACAGTCACCCTTGCCTGCCTGCACTCCAAGACCTCTGCTGCTCTACACTCTGCTGTCTGTAGACTGTAAGACTAATATATTTTTATGAACAGCACAGTTAAAAAAAAACTAGAATTTTTCTATTTGAAATTTCAAATAGCTTCTTCTATCTTACTCTGTGTTTCCAAGAAAATGATCTCAGTCAGCATCTTGGCAATATGTCTGAAGCAAAAACAAATGGATGCTTTAGGATAAATTGGGCTCAAGATATTGTACATAATGAAAATGAATGGTATAACATCATTCTGTGTGCTTTGTTTATTTCTTTTAAGCGACTTCTAATTTGTTTTAAAAATAATAGCTTGGGAAGTAGATTCCTTTTGCAATTTCAGAAATAGTAAAATAAATGTAATAAATATTACATTGAATTAGAGCTTTAATTATTTAATTTAACTTCCTTTAATTAGGAGTAATTAAAGTCAACTATATATAATAAGATGTGAATTACAAAATTTTGTCTTGAGTAAGGCAACACTTTGGCTGATTTTAAAAACATGCACACAAAATACTAAGCACCTTTCAATTTAATTTGCTAAATTATACACCAAAGCTTTTAGCTTAGACAGTATCTCCCCTAACTGCTATGTGTAAATGTTATGCAATATGTCTTATTACATTTTATCGTAAGAGAAAATAATAGCATAACCTGCATTACAACCTGTGATTCTGAATTTCATGAAGATGAATATCATGAAATAATAGTTTCAGATAAGAATTTCATGTTTACTTAGTCAAAGGTGCTTCTTAAAATCTGAATTCAAAGTTTATTTGTAGAGATTTGAATGTTTTTCCTTATTTAGAATTAAGTTTACCAACATTAATATTAAATATTGTGGGTTCTGTTGTTGTCACATGGTGCCTGCAAAGAGCATATTTATTCTTGGTTATGTTCTTTTCTATGTTACGCTCAGTTATTATCTCTGCATATTCAGCATGCTCATGTTTTCATATATCTGTCATCTGTCCTCTGTTCCTATATTCTGAAGTAACAGAAATAAGTAAGATGGAGGCAAAATTGCACAACCAACCCAAACATTCTGATATTAACTTGATTTTGTATGTCTTTTTCTAAAAACAACACCTATGGGTTGATATTGTACCAAAAATAATAAAGAAAATATTAAGAAAGCATAAGGGCCTCACTATGATTTCTTTTAGGTAGAAATTCTTTATTTTTTTCTGTTCAGTTTTATTTCTCATCAGTATAGATATTTGAGAATGGGAATGAATTTCTCATTCTGTGGGACATTTGTCACAGTTAATGTCTCATTTAATAACCAAGTGGATTCAGGATGTGATGATATTGTTTCCTGTTCGGTCTGTGGGCCTTTTGACAACGTATACAGTGCTTTTCTATAAATCCCTTTTGTTTTTGTAATTCAGATTATTCATATTACTATGCACACAAGATATATCAAAGACATATTTCTCCACTAGCATTACCATGGGCTAACTAGAATATGTTTATATTTTATCTTTACATGCTTCATGGTAGGTAGGGAACCCCCTACAGAAGACTCAATACCCTGTACCCCCATAAAATTTGGACATTCCCATTTAAAAAGGCCTTTATTGAGTAGGAAGTTACTATTTTGTTTTTAATTGATCTACAAAGAAAGAAAATTGTGATCCACCTGGAGTTTTTAAATTAAAACTTTATAAGCGGATTCCCACTTCTATAAAATAATACAGAGATGAAATTCCCACCATGACATTGGTGGGAATTCTTGGATCTAGGAAGAGAAAATCTAAAATTAGCAAAATTGACCACAGACCCACACTAATCCCTAGCTCATTTAGAGCCTAGAGCTCATTTTACAGAAGACACAGTTTGAAGAAGAAATGGATACAAGATCACATACCTCTCATTTTAACTGGCAGAAAGTCCTGCTACCATAGCTGGCACTTCATACATACAAACTGATAAATAGTTCCTAAACATTCAACTCTTCTGGGAAGTTGGAATGAATGATGGGTCCTTTTTGTTGCCCAAAATGAGCAGTAAGGCTTCTATTTTAGTGTTTTATATTTCTCAGTAATTGTCTCTTATAGATTCTGGGCGATTAGAGCAGCAACTTGAAGAAGCCAGTTCTGCACAAAGAGAGTTAGAAGATGCTACCAGACACATCAAAACTTATGAGAAGCAAATGAAAGCACTAAAGCAAGAGCGGGATGATCTTAATAAGGTATAAACAATCTGATCAACGTTTTTTACTTCTATTTTAGCTTTAGAATACTTCACTTCCGTATTCAATCATCTTAATGTAGCCACACAACAAAATGATTAGGCCATATGACTAATCTGTCTGCATTTGATAGTATTTCTGAAGCAAGTGGCAGTCATGGCTAGGAGGGGCTTTGCACAATTTCATGTTGTATGCCTGTTGCACCTTTATCTGGATCGTGAAGTCCTGCACAGGATCACTCATGCCCTAGTCATCTCTTGATTGGATTACTGCAATGCACTATATATGGGCTACCCTTGAAAAGTATCAGGAAGCTACCGGTGATGCAGAATGAAGGGTGCACATAGTTCTGGGGTCCCTACAATGTCACATATAACACAGCTGTTGCACAAACTGCATTGGATACCATTTTGCTTCTGGTCCAGTTCAAGCTGTTGGTTGTTACCTTTAAAGCCCTATATAGTGTGGATCCAGGGTATCTAAGGAGCTATCTCACCCGAATGGGATTAGTCTGCCCTGCTCGCAGCAGCAGAAAAGGCCTGCTACAGACCTCATCTGCTAAGGAATTTTGATGGGTGGGGTCAAGAAGGGCTTATTCTGCTATGATCCCAACTCTGTAAAACACTCTTATAACCAGACGTGAGAATTATTCCCATCTTTTTTGGCCTTCTAGAAGGGTTTTAAAACTTAGTTTTGCCAGGGGAGTAGTCACCATTGGACGTGGTTTATGAGGTTAAAAGACCTTATCCAAGTCTTGCCATCCATGCTCTTGGTTTTGTTTTTTGCATAGTTTTAAAGTTTTAATGGATGTAGATTTAAATGTTTAACTTCTTTTCTATTTATCTTTTTATGTTCTGCAAACTGTATGTCTTATTTGTTTTAACCCTATTTAATGATAGAAAGCTAATATTTAGGGATATGTCATATTTTGTTTCTGATTGCAGGAACTGCTTGACTCCAGTGAGAGGTTAAAGGCACAAACCAAAGAACTGAAAGATGCACATAGCCAACGGAAACTGGCCATGCAGGAATTCTCTGAGATGAATGAACGACTTACGGAATTGCATTCACAAAAACAGAAGCTTACCCGCCAAGTTAGAGATAAAGAAGAAGAGATGGAAGTGGTGATGCAAAAGGCAGAAAGCTTGAGACAAGAGTTACGTAGAACAGACAGAATAAAGAAAGAAGTAAGTTTAATCCATCTCCCTCTCAAATTTTTAGAGCACCAAAAATTTTTAGAGCACCAGATTTACCTTAGTATTACACAAGAAAGTTCACTTAAATTTAAATTCATGTGTTTGTCTTTTAGTTAATTAAACAATGGTAATTGATAAATAACAGACTCTGCAATTCATTTTTAATCTTCTACATATGCTTATTGACATCATCTTTATGATAGAATTATATATGCAGATGAATCCACAAGTTTCTGGACTTAGTAAGGAAAAGCAATGCTAAAAGGAACGTTTCTGATTTTAAAATTGTATTTGTAGCTGGAAGTTCATGCTGAAGCTGCAACTGCTGAGGCATCCAAGGACAGGAAGCTGCGTGAGAGAAGTGAGCAATATTCTAAGCAGCTGGAAAATGAATTAGAAGGATTAAAGGTTAGTCTTTACTGATTTCACCATTTTAAAGCGGATGAGTGTCTTTGTCCTATGTAGGGTAGGAGACTTGCAAGTTTGTGTATTATTATTTACAATAGCTTATTATGAGATGACTTTAAATTGAAGGCATACCAAAATGTATAGAAATCAATCATTCTTAACACAGCCGTTGTTCAGGTAGATATTCATTAGATATATAATCTCAAGGTATTTTAGTAATGTGTTTTCTTTTAGTTTCCTACTAAAACTTTCATGAGTGAAATGGTGCACGATAGGGCAAAACGTTTTGAACCAAGGCACCTCAAATGATCTGACTTACAGTATACATCCAAAATCAAGGATCCCTGATCCCTGTAGAATTGAAATTTGGCAAATCTTATAAAGCGATTTATGACATAATATAAAATGTCATAAAACATTTCATGTGGTCAAATTCTGATGTTTGACTGGACTGTCCAGTTCAACATGGGCTACTTTCAAGGCAAAATATATCTGTGAATAATTTCCCTGAATTTTTAAGAACTTTTCAAGTGCTTTAGAAGCTTTGCTATTGTTGAAGGCATTGAGGAATGAGGACTCTGGTAAGGAAATAACTCTGAAACAATGACCCAAGGAGTCATGGAACACCCCACCCACACCCACCCCGACAGCAGAATAATAATGAGCTGGCTTGAAATGTATTTCTGTGCATCTATTGGAATCCTATAATAGGAACTACTTTGCAGTGGTCTGTTTTCTATTGTTAATGCTGGAAGAATGGATAATTAAATTATGATTTGTTATGCATTTATCAAAGAGGAAACTCAGTTGAGAAACTACAGCAATCCAGGGAAATGCAGTTTATTACATTTTATTTTAAAATCAGTGTCAACCAATTTCATTTTCATTTTTTCACCTTCTAGGATGAATTATTCCTATTTTATACCATATGTCAGAATTTTCCAGATCATAAAAACTAATTCTGAAATGTCCCCTTTTTTAGCAGAAACAAATTGGTTGGTCTCCAGGGGTGAGCAGCTCAGAACATCAGCAGGAAATAACAAAATTAAAAGCTGACTTGGAAAAGAAAATAGTTTTTTATGAAGAAGAACTGTCTAAACGAGAAGTAATACATTCTAATGAATTAAAAAATCTGAAGAAGGAATTGCGTGATGCAGAGATCCAACAACTTGCTCTCAAAAAAGAAATTCTGGTATTGAAAGACAAATTAGAAAAGACAAGAAGAGAAAGGTATGACGTTCATGTACAATTCTTCTGTACTTGGATATTTTTATGATTTCAAAAAAGTTGATACAGCTGCAGATATTTATATGTGGATACCCAAATAATATTTTAGCCTAAAGTAACAAATTAATGTGTTTTATCCTTTGAAACAAAATTATTAGAAAATGAATAAAAAGATTCATTAGATTCAGTATGACCTGGCAGGATATATGTAACGATTGTATCTTAAATGTGTTGGATCTTTGCAACTATATACAATAAGTTATATCTTTACATAGCCTCTTTCAAACTACTTTACCTAAAAGATGAAGATGAAAAATAATGCACAATGATAGTAAATTACCTTGAAACAGGGGTTTACATATATATTTCATTCACTGTCCATATAGTTTGTATGTATCTGCCTCTGATTTTGGTTGAATTCAGAGTGTGTTTTTATAAATAAAGGTTGTCTCTATCCATGGTAGGTTATGATAAAATTCTCCTGCACACGTGCATGCTCCAGTCAACTGAGTGAAAGTGATGATGTGAGCAGATGGCACTGGCAGAATACAGTGGGCAACTATGATTATTTACTTATCCATATCATTGATAAGGCAACTCTGGGTGGCTAACGAACAGTAGAAAAATAAATACAAAAACAAAAATTTAAAAACCATATAAAAACCTAGAATCAAGGAGATGGGTGGCACAGGGATGAGAACTTCTGCTTATCCCATCAACTACCTCTGGTGGTATGTGCCCCCTCAGGGTCTCAAGCCAATTGGTAAAACCAACTGTTTATACGCTTCCAGAAGACCAAGAGAGTGGGAGCAGTTCTCACTTCTGGTAGTAGATTAATCCACAGGGCCATGGCCACAGCGGAAAAGGCTCTTCTCCTTGTCCTCACCCACTGAAATTCCTGAGATAGGGTCTGCAGCATGGCCCTTCTACTGGAGCAAGTGGGGTGGGCTAGTCCCATTGGGGTGAGGCAGCTCCTCAAATACCCTGGACCCATATCACATATAGCGCTTTATCAGATTCTCCTCTTTTTTGCTCAACTGGAACATTCTGAGCAGAAGTCCATTCTGCTAATTATTTTTCTAGAAAAAACAAAATTTGTCCTGATTATTTGAATGTTGTTTTTATACATGTAAATATAGCACTTTCTTTTGTAGTAGATTTCATTAAAATAGGATGAGTAAATATATTTTTGATTGATGGTATCTATTCAAAGAAACAGGACTTGGGCCACAAAATGTGCTTTATTATGTAAAGCATATTTAGATTATAGAATTAGAAGGGAAAGTTTAGGACCTTCTTTATGGAGGAATCTGTATTAAACAATTCCTAGAGCCAACTGTCTGACCTTCACATGAACACATCCAGAAAGGTAGAATTTGGTTCCACTGCTGAATTAGTCTTATCGACAGAATATACTTTCCTACTATTTGAACTAGTATCTCTGCTCCTATAATTAATTTATACCTTGTAGAATAGAGATTTGCTTTTGATTTTGTGTGCAACATCCTTTGAGATAATTGAATCCAATCTCAATAATTTTTGTTCAAGATGAAATAGCACTCATTATACTTCTCAATAACTGCTCTAGTTTTTCTGAATCCTTCCTAGAATGTATTGTACATTTTTAGACATAGTACTCAAGATAGGGTTCTTTGCAACAAAGCATGACTTTAGTATAGAAGTTTTACACCCAGTGGATCTATCTATAACTTACTATTGTGATACCATGGGATGCTATTGGATCATGACTGCTAATTTACAGTTATCAATTGTCCTGGATTTCAGCTGTGCAGGATAATTGTATTATACAGTACCTAGTTCTTAATAAATCAATTCGTTGAATACTTGAATGGTTGGTGCTAGCCAAATTCTGTTCCTTGTAAATATTTCATATTCTGTTTATCAGAGTTATAATTTTATAATTGATAGTTTTATATTTATTTAGAAAAGAAATGCCTTGGATTCTATAGAGTTGAAAGGATGTTATTTTAAAATAGTCAGGAAACACACTTGATAAAGTGACCAAAACAGATAATTTGTGAGAAATAAGCATCAAGTATCACTTCTGACATACAGTTTTAATTGAAATGAATAGTATTTCAATTAAATACTGAATTTAATAAATTTATAAATGAATTTATAAATAAATGAATAGTAGGTGAAGTTTATATCTCAATCTCGATAATGTTCTTGCAATACATATTATTTTACCTTTATCTTTCTTCAGTTGTTTTTTCTGTAGTTATACTGATATCAAGATATATCAAAGAAGGCTTTGCTTTGAGAGATATTTTTAAAATATCTAGCAAAAATGCTGTAAGGAGAAGACTGTTTAGTTTGTTAGAAAATAGGCAAAATGAAAGATTTTAATGGCTATTAAAGAACGATCAAGACAGCATTCTATTGTAAAAACAGTTTTTGAAAAATGACTACTCAAAAAGATATGTACCACATTTGCTTTTTGATTTACATCTTCCGCTATTTTTAGACCAAAGGTGCTGAAATATAGAAGAAAATGTTGTCAGGGTTGACGCTTGAAAACATATCTATGTGGTGTCTAAAATTAATTTTCTTCTATTATATTTGAACCACCAAATAATTTTGAATTCAGATTTTCCCCTTGTACTATTCAGTTGCATTTCTTTCTACTGTCCTGTAGCTTCAATTGAAGCATTCAACATCAGATCTCTAAATCTGTCATCAGAGTTATTTACGTAAAGTTTCACATCGCATCTTTTATATATTGTAAAATAAAAGAATTTTAAAAATACTTCTAAAAAATCTGTGCTAAACACATATATCAAAATAAAGATGTAATCATATGCTTAATTTAAGGAACGGTGAACTGTTTGTTGTCTGAGAAGTTAGCCTTAAACCCCAGTCTGAGGCATAGCTGTGTGACCCATTATCCATTCCCCTGAGAGTTAATGCTTTAATCTTTGTTGGCTTTCCCCCAGAATGTTCATCATATGCATGGAATCTGTTAGTTGAAGAGAGGAGTGGATGGTGTTGGATTACAGATTCAGAGTTTGAACAGCAGTTATTAATATGCAACCCTGTTGGAATGAAGTGTATTGTTTCAAATGATGCCTAGCAACATGCCAATTCAGAACTGGTTCAGATATGCCGTGTTGTATTTCAGAGACTGGTTGAAAAAAAATAATTTGAAGGCAGGGTATTTTGTTCCCTTTCTCTACATTTTATTCTCATAGTTAAACTGATAAACATTTCGGAGTATCTTTGGAGAACAATTATAAATTCTGTCCTAGAGACAAGCATAATTATAGAGATTGTTTAAGCATGATAGATTAAACAATCTTATTTTCTCAGGTATCTTTCCCTGGTACCTTCAGTTCTTGCTAAGCAAAAATATATAAAATTATAACTAATATAACACATTTATAGCTAGTAATAGCTATATAATAGGTAGGGACTAGAGGCAGGGATTTTTTTTGTCTCGTTTAACCATAGGGTTAAACAGTTTAACCATGGTGTGGGAAGGGAAATCCACAACATTTCATCTGTGTTTCATGTATTGAACTGAGGCCTATTTATTATAGCAGAATTTCATTCTGTTTATGCTATTTTAATATAATACTTATGAAGGTTTTTTAAGGATTCATGGTTGTCATTATAAGACTGTAATATACTTTCAACTTCAATAAAATTATACTAGATAGATACCCAAAATTGCAAGAAAATGATGTCTACTTTATTTGCCACAACCTTAGTAATTTTTTGGGTTGTGTTCATCCATAGAAATATGACATTTGGGGTTTTTTTTACTTTGTTTTATGGAGTGTAATCACAAGACAAGTTCAGACTAAACAATCAAATAAATTTTGTTCCATTAAAAATCCAGCCAGAAAGGCACAATTATAGCTTGATCCCAGTTATAAGTATTATTGTATCTCAAGTTCAGGTGCCCAGTGGAGTTACTTTTTGGACTGTAGAGGAAGTTATCAGTTCAGCTTGAAACATATAAGAACATTTTTTATTCATAAACATTTGATATATGTGATTCATTTTTCCCCAATAAAACAAAGCGAATTCTGTCAGGTAAAGATTGGAAACAAGTAGTGATCTGAAGCTGTTTTTGTGATAAGGAAATGCAATCTATCGTATAGTTAACCTTTTCAAATATCACGTTACGATATGAAAAAAATGCAAAAAGGACAGTTTTCCCTAAGTGAAATAGCTTCTGTAATTTTTCATTTTTGTATATTGCCAACAATATAGTTAAAGTGCATTAAAAAGAAAAGTGACTTGGATCCCACTGTCTTCCCACTATATTGTGCGTCACTGATTTCTCTCTTTTCAAAAGGATCTTCCAATCATCCCATAAAAAAATTTAGAAGCAGGGGAAAGACATTCTCATTTCATTTTATAAATTGCAAAATTAACATTATTTATGCAGGTTGTTTAATACAAAACAGTTTGGAGACTGTTTTACAAGATTTTATGAGATATGTTTCTTCTCCCTCAACATACAGTTATTCAGTTGAAATAGGAATGTGATATGTTCACATTTCTTAGAAAAATTGTCTGTCCCTCTCACTTTTAAGCTTTTTCATGGCCTATAAAATGTTACTTATGCTGAAAATTAGGAATGTTCATATTAAAAAAGATTTCTTAATTATAAATGAGCATTTGGATGTTTCAGGAATTTTGTTATAATTAAATCAACTTTATTAACCTAATGGAAATCTCTATGCATAGAGCTTTTCAGCTTTTGAAACCATATATGGCAATTGTTTCTTTTGTACTGACTGGGATTTTGGAAACGCAGTGTTATAAAAATGAGTAAGCATATTGAATCAGAACATTTACTCTGAACTGTGATTGTTTAAATTCATAGACTATAATAATGAAGCTGAAGGAATGTCATCCAGAATATCCATGCAATATAATTCTCTCTGAAATTAAAGGCCTTTATTCAATGAAACCTAGACATACTTTGGTTATAATGATGCATATTTCAAACAATCCATATGTTTAAGGAATTTATAAATTGGAACCACAAACATCTGCTAACTTAAATTCTAATATTATATAGTGTTATTTTAGAGCATATTGTATGGATTATTATATTCTTTTTGGTCTTGGTTACTGTGGGATCTTAATATTTTTATGTATGTTTTAAGTTGTAATGAAATATATATGAGGAAATTATACTTTATATATGATAACTATGTTGCACATTTTACCATAGCCAAAATGAAAGGGAGGAGTTTGAAACAGAATTCAAACATAAATATGAACGGGAGAAGATTCTGATGACTGATGAGAACAAGAAGCTTTCCAGTGAGCTTGACAAGGTGAGTGATATGTTATTTAATACCTATATACATTAATGTATTGAACAAAATTAGGTAAAGTTGATAATAGAATGTATTTATTTGTTTAGATTAATGTGTATTGTCATCAGTCTTGCTCAGCACAAATCTGGGTAGCTAACAAAAATTTAAAAAAATAAGACAAAAATATAAAATAGCTGGCAAAGAAACAATGCCACCAAGAAACATAGGCTCACCTACTCTCCTGATACATATGTCCAGAAAAACAAACAGCTCTTAAGAGTTTACCAAAAGGCCAGCATGTTTGGGTTGATCTTGGACAGTACAGTGTTCCCAGGGACAGGTGCTGTGACAAGAAAAGCACACTTTTTGGGTCTCACTGGATGACATTTTCTACTCAATGGGACCTTCTGCCAGATTTGATGCGATTAGTAGAGTCAGTTGGAGAAAAGGCTTTATAAATAACAACCAACACCTTTAATCTATCCAGAAGTAAACTGGAGGTCAATGAAGCAAAGAAGTAATGTAGTAAGATGAGCCACTACATTCTGAACTTTTTGTAATTTTCACATGTTTTTCAAGGACAGCAGCATGTAGAACACATTTAAGTAATCAACTTAAGAGATAACCAAAACATGAGTTTTGGTATTCAGTGCCTCTTGCTCCAAGAAAGGTCACAAATGGTGCACACCAGAAGGTTGTACAAATGCTCTCCTAGCCACATCTACCATCTGCTCCTCAAATAGGTGCCATGAATCCAAAAAGACGCTCAAGTGATGTACTAGTTTTGCTTACCTAACCAAAATTAAAGATGGAAAATTGCCAGTTCCAGATAGTCCTAAAATCCCAAACCACTTAGTCTTATTGGATGAGTTGAAACCTGTTCTTGCTGAAGTAATAAAAAGATATTCAGCATTTGCCTAAATGTTTTTATGTTACAGTGTTATTTTTACAGACAGTATATCAGTAATGACACTGAAAAATTTCACAGAAAGACACCTGAAAAATAAGAGACTACATAATAAACATATGTAACATGTAAGAAACCTCCTGGGGCAATACATATGTGAATGTAATCAGTGCCTCATTAAATCTTTGATAAGCTCAGAAGAAAGCACTTTCAAATCACTATTGCGGAATCATAATTGTGATTATAATATTCTTTAAATATATATTTAGCTTACAGCAATGTATGAAAGGCTAAGTATGAGTAATCGACAACTTGAAGAAGAGATGAGAGATCTTGCTGACAAAAAAGAATCTGTGGCACACTGGGAAGCCCAGATTACTGAGATCATCCAGTGGTAAGGTTATTTTTCTGTTTGTGACTCCTGCTGTAAGGTACATTATTTTTCTATAACAAAAATAATTTTGCAGTTTTGTCATCTATTTTGACCCTTCTGATAATCCCAACTCCACTTAAAAGAGCAAAATCATGTTTGACAAAGTTCTTGACCTTTCAGTAAGTCATAAGTCATACCTAAGAGAATTAATCTCACTTGCTTATATTTCATTACTTGTATTAGTTTCATGAATGAATATATAATAGAACAAGAGTAGTTAAAAACCTTGACCTATTATTGTCCCTAATTTTAAAATATTTTAAGTGATGAAACCTTGACCTATTATTGTCCCTAATTTTAAAATATTTTAAGTGATGAAACATAGTAGATACCCTTGGCACTTTCCTTAAAAAGAAACTAACAGCATTGAATGCAAACTGATTTTCCACTAAAAATGCTTATATCAAATAGACATCTCTCTGAGTGACAAAGCTAAGAGTGAAAACCAGGGATGAATTCAGAATTGTTCATGGAAAAATACTTTTGCTGTAATCTGTTGTCCCATTTTTTTATATTTAGGTCTAATTTTAACAATCTTTTCCACAAGTCACTTAACATTTATCAACCTAACATATTTTCATCTTGCTTGCTTTCATAGCAGCTGTGTAATTTATTTTTTATTAAAAATAGATAAACAGAGGTCTTTTCGAGAAGCATTTAGCTCATCTGCATTTTTATTTGTAATGTAACTTTGCTATCCTTATATAGAAATAGTTCTCTCTCTTTCTCTCTCTTTTATATGGCAGGACAATTTGTATCATTCTGAAAAACTTGGAGTGGTCCAAGTAGGTTACTTACATTTGTGAACTGACATAATTTAAACCTAAGACCATGATGCATGTTTATTTTTACAGCCTGACTTATAAGCAAAGCAAAAAAAAAGCTACATAATTTGAATTTTTTTTGTCCTTTGCTATAAATTAAGTTTTGGTTTCAAGAAAAAAATATAACATTGATATATAACATTGGCAGTAAATCTATATTTTACTCAGTCTCATTCATTCATTGGAAACATAATCTTATTGATAAAGATACATCTGCTTTCTAAAAAAGAAAATTGAAATATAATAGATACTCCTTGATTATTAAAATTATTCAGGAGAAAAGGATAATGGGTTTCAGAACTCAGAACATAAAATTGTTTCCTCAAAACAACAGACATTCCAGAACGGAGGAGAGACAGTCTTGGATTTTGGAATGTTCCATTTCTCACATGTGGATTTTTCTTTGATCACAAGGGACCAAACTATTGAATAGCTTCACACTGTCAGTTTAAGTCTCTCAGAGAGTCCCAACATTAATTCTTCCCCAGCTAACTAATCAGACATTAACTATGCAGCAAAGAATGATTACATGCTAGCAGCAGACTCAGAAGGACATGAAGAGGGAGAGAAGGAGAGGCACTGGTATATTGAACCCAAGGTTCTGATTGTTCTTTTCTTGTACTAGTAACAGTAGTAAATAGCAATATTGCCTTCATCACGTATTTCCCTAAAAAGACAACAACTTGCCCCAACTATTTTTAATTATTCTTTTTATATGCCAATTTATATTACTTGGTGCTATTGTTCTGGGGTTAATACAAACATTGCTTTGGATTGGATGGAAAAGATGCATTTACTTGATATCTGCATTTAATAGCATTCCTGCATATAATATAGTTCCTTTGGACTCTTCAAATAAACCATTAAGCTTTTAATTTTCCCTGGGGATTCTGCCTTATTCTTAAACCTTAAATTTACTTATATAAATCTTCATTCAGTGTGAGCAACCTTATTTTTCTCCTATGTTCAGCCTTCCTAATATTTAAGTTATTCTGAACCTTCTCCACTTTTTAATATATTTTACTATTGCAAATAACCAGAAATAGGGGTGGGGAGCATGATCTGATCTGCTACTAAGAACATTTGCATATTTAATTCATAATATTTTTGCCTCTTCCAAAACAAAATCTCATTTTAATTCTAATATGCCATGCTCTGGTTCCTGCAGGACAAATCTACATCCAATGGACCCATATTGTCAATCATTGTTGCTATAATGATTTCCCTCTAAATTGGTAACTTCATTATGATCACAACTCCAGTGTTGCTTTGACTTTTTCATTAAATTAAAGTATTTTTATTCCAATGTAGTAGTCATAAAATAAGTAAAGAACAGAGAAAAAAAAACCCTTTCATATTAAAAATATATAAGCCATAGTAAAGTCATAATATATTTTGTCTTATGCTATGGTTAGAATCAAATTGATGCAATTCTATTATAGAATAGTGAGAAATTATCATTATAAAGATGCATATTTTCCCCTAATGTCAAAAGTTATGTCACATATATTTACATATATTTTTGAATGTATCTGTCTTTATTTAGAAATAATGAGATCAGCTACTGAAAACTAGTAGAAGCAATCCAATGGTTATATTGAGCCAAGATTCCTAAACCAAAAGGGCTTTACATAAAACAATTATGCTATTTCACAATTTAATCACAATTTTAAAAATTTGTGATTCTTTACCAAGTTACTCAATATGTGTATATCTTACATAAAGATGAGTGTTAATTGGCTATCATACAGTAATTCTGAGCAATTGATTTAGTTGTAATATGGAATAAAATCACAATTAAGATTGTTTCAGAATTAAATTGAAAAATGAATAATGCATCTATGCAGAGAAAAATGTGTCCTTGATTAAGGATAAAGATGTACATATGTACGTTGGTGCAGTTACATCTGTTCAAGGGAATGTATTTATTATCTTGGCAGTGATTCTAGACATCTGTTTGCAGAACTCCATATGGAATTTTATTGATGATCAGATTCTATATAAAATTACTATCTTGCAAGTTAGGATAATTCCATTTCTAATTTACGTTATCATATTAATTTGCTGGTTACAAGTCACCCTCTATCTCTATCTGAGTAGTCTGAATTTTGCAGCTATTCCTTAGCTCCATAATATGGGCACATCCACTATAGTGGTCTGCCTTAGCTATTTTATGGATTTCATTGGTTTTCAACAGGTGTTTGGAGAGTTTCCCAGCAGACTGCTTGGCAATTCTGTGAAGAAATACTTAAGATCTAGAATTCCAAGTTAGTTGCTTGATAGGGTTGCCCCAAATGACGTCCGCTAGAATGCCATTCTTGGTTTACTAGACCAAGTTCAAATGTATATTGTGGCAGTAAGAACCATGTAGTAGTGATAATTTTCTGCACTTACTGCACCTGCAGAATGCCTGCTTCAGGATTATGTTGAGCATTCCTTCTGTGATAAAATACAATTTCAAATCAGTTTCGTATTGCTGGTACGTAGTGAACAGGCATTGATCTCAACTTGGAATTGTTACTTTTCCACTCCCAAAGTAATGTCATACCTTGAGATTCAGTTAATAGGGAATAATTTCATAAACATGTTTAATTGTGTTAAGTTTTCACTGCTGCTTTGCTTTCCTCAACTTTTTTATTTTACTTTCCAATGTAATTATGTCCAAATACAGCCCTTAGCTTTTCTAAAGTTTTTAATCTGTTCATATTTTACTCAGGGTGAGTGATGAAAAAGACGCCCGAGGTTATCTTCAAGCGTTAGCTTCCAAAATGACCGAAGAACTAGAAGCGTTGAAGAGCTCCAGCTTGGGTGCAAGGGCAACAGTAAGCTTTGGATTTTCTACATGATTCTGGTTCTAATAATTTGCTATGCTATCAAATAAATGCTTATTGTAAGCTGTATCAACTGTTGTACCAGTTTATAACTACCGTGTTTCTCATAAAATAAGGCCGGGTCTTATATTTTTTGAGCCCCGAAAAAACGGCTAGGCCGTCTTTTCAGGGGTGACTTAATTCCCCCCCTTGCATCCTCATCTAGAGCGCCCCGCAGGCAGCCTCGCCACCAGCCTCTCCTAAAGGGTGATCATGGTGAAGTGCAGAGAGCTCCCTACTCCCACCAAACACCTTTGCTGCAGACCCAAGACCTTTGGCACCCGCCGCTGTTGCTTTCCCTTCTGCCCATTCCGCCGCCATTTTTGGAGTGCCGCTGCCATTTGGAGTGCTGCCGCCATTTGGAGCACCGCCGTCATGTTTGGAGCTGCCTCTTCCGCGTTTGGAGCTGCCGCCGTGTTTGGAGCGGCGGCGGCGCTCCAAATGGCGGTGGTGCTCCAAGCAGCGACAGTGCTCCAAATGTGGAAGCGGCAGCTCCAAACGCGGCGGCAGCTCCAAATGCGGACATGGCAATTCCAAACAGCAGCAGTGCTCCAAACAGCAGCAGTGCTCCAAACAGCGGTGGGGTTCCAAATGCGGCAGCGGCAGCTCCAAACGCGGTGGCAGCTCCAAATGCAGAAGCGGCAGCTCCAAACAGCAGCAGTGCTCCAAACAGCGGCAGTGCTCCAAACGTGGAAGCGGCAGCTCCAAATGCAGCGGCAGCTCCAAATGCAGAAGTGGCAGCTCCAAATGCGGCGGCGGCATGGGCAGAAGGGAAATCAACAGCGGCGGGTGCTGAAGATCTTGGGTCTGCCGCAAAGGTGCTTGGCAGGAGTAGGGAGCTCTCCGCGCTCTGCCATGATCGCCCATTAGGAGCAGCTGGTGGCGAGGAATTGCTGCTCGCAGGGCGCTCCTAACGGCAAGTCCCCCCACCCTTCCCCCCATTTTGCATGTTTTAAAATAGGCCTAAATTGGGGGGGGGGGCTTAATTTGATTTTATGCCTAGAAAACATGCTGGGTCTTCCCATTGGGGGAGGTCGTATTGTTGGAGAAACACAATAGGCACTTATATCCAGGCACTTAACTTCTTATTCACTACGTAGTTTTCTAATTCAGAAAAATAACTGAATGTCTATATCATTGTAAATTATGACAAAGTATAGCATGAAAATATTCGTAAATACATAGTTTAGATTTTTCTTTAAATTCTTTCTCCCAATTTTTTAAACAAACACACCTATAAGAGAACTCCACTTGCTTGTGTCACTATTTGTGGTGGTGGTGTTGTTATTAAAATTGTATCCTTTTATTTGTAAACTTCATAGGAACTATACATGGAAAACAACATGGAAAAAAACCTATGTAAACTATGTAAACTACCTTTACAGTTCTATTAGGTTTTCTCTTTGGTTCTTTTTTTAATTCATGCAATTATAATATGCCCTTAGCTGCATCTGTAGAACAAGTACATAATTCATTACATTTTAAAAAAATCTATTAGATCAAGGGTCCCCAACCCCCAGTCCAAGGACTGACACGGGTCCACAGCTTGCCAGAAACCAGGCTGCACAAATAAGCAAAGACCCCAACCACAGGATGCAGGCAGCACACGAAACCACACCCCCTCCAGTCCATGGAAAAGATTATCTCCATAAAACCCAAGAGCCCAAAAGGTTGGGGGCCACTGCATTAGAGAATAATTATGAAATAATTATGAAATAAATTTGTGAGAGAGGATAAGAGTGACAGAATAATATTTTTCTCAAAAAATGATTTTTTCTCTCTCTCTGTAAACAAGTCTTTTAATGCTTAATGTAGTCTTTGGCAAAAACATTTAAATAAAAAATACTTTTTATTTTTTATTATATTATTATTTAATATTATAAGGAGCCTCTGTGGCGCAGTGGTTAGAGTGCAGTACTGCAAGCTACTTCTGCCTACAATTTGGCAGTTCAAATCCCACCAGGCTCAAGGTTGACTCAGCCTTCCGTCCTTCTGAGGTGGGTAAAATGAGGACCCAAATTGTTGGGGGCAATATGCTGACTCTGTAAACCGCTTTGAGAGGGCTGTAAAGCACTATAAAACGGTATATAAGTCTAAGTGCTATTGCTATTTATTACATTTATATGCCAATAGGGAGACTATATTAGCCTAAGTTTCTTGCCAGTGAAACCATAATTTTATTACTTAGACTAAAAAAGATCATGCTTTCACTGATTAAAGTGGAGTGGGAAATTGTTGGCTCCTTTTCCTTACATCCTTCTTGGAAAGCTCCAAAAAGCTCAAAGATCCTCCAGAGTCATGGAGGAGAAGTGGCCAAATAGCAAAGCCAACAAACTTCCACCTTCAACCTCCCTTTCCTTCCACTGGATTTTGGTCCATTATATAAACGATAAGTATCATATCAAAAAATGACAGCTCTGGATCCACCCCAATATCTACTAAAAGAGACACTATAATTTTTGTTAGAGTTTTAAATATTAAAGTATCATTAGAAGACATATTAGCTAATAATATTTAAAAACATTTTCTTTGAAGGACATGCCTTGGAAGATGCGTCGCTTTGCAAAACTAGATATGTCTGCAAGGTTAGAGCTACAGTCAGCCCTTGATGCAGAAATACGAGCCAAGCAAGCCATTCAGGAAGAGTTAAATAAAGTTAAAGCTTGTAACATTGCAACAGAATGGTAAGATTTAATGATTCCTTTTAAGATTTTAAGGCAGCTTGTGATATTTTCTGTTGAGAGTCATCCTGATAAATTCTACATTGTTTGTGGTTTCAGAAATTGAATATAATAGTTTGATGGCCTGCCATAAAATGTCCAATTTTCTGTGTATAATTTGCAATTTATTTGAAAATTGTTTCCTGAAAA